CCAAACACCCCTCCTCTGAGGCTTGTCAGTCTGTATCCCACCTCTATGTCTCTTGGTTAATTTTGTTAAGCAGTTTGTTTAGATCATTATATTCCACAAATAAGTGAGATCACGTGATATTTGTTTTTCTCTGATTGGCTTGTTTCACTTAGGATAATACTCTCCAGGTCCCTCCATGCCATCTCAAAGGATAAGAGATCTTTCTTTCTTACAGCTGCATAGTACTCCATTGTGTACATGTACCACAGCTATTTTATCCATTCATCTACTGATGGACACTTGGGGTATTTCCAGATCTTAGCTATTGTAAATAGTGCTGCTATGAACATAGGGATACATATATATATATATATTTTTTTTAATCCTCATCCGAGGACATTTTTCCATTCTTTGTACAGACAGAGTGGGAGGGAGAGAGAGGAAGAGAGAGAGAGGGAAACATCGATGTGAAAGGGACACATCGAGTGGCTGCCACCCGCACGACCAACCATGGCCAGGGACAAACTGCAACCGAAGTACGTGCCCTTAGCGGGAACCGAACCCGGGTCTCTCCGGACCGCAGGCAGATGCCCTAACCGCTGAGCCAAACTGGCCAGGGCAAGGGATACATATATTTTTTATGATTGGTGTTTCAGGGTATATTCCTAGAAGTGGGATCACTGGGTCAAATGGCAGTTCAATTTTTAACTCTTTGAAGTAACACCATAGTGTTTTCCACAGTGACTGCACCAGTCTGCATTCCCACCAGCAGTGTACTAGAGTCCCTTTTTCTCCACACCCTCGGCAACACTTGTTGTTTGATGATTTGTTGATGGCGGCCATTCTGACAGGTGTGAGGTGATGCCTCATAGTTGTTTTAATTTGCATCTCTCTGATGACTAATGATGTTGAGCATATCTCTGTTGGCCATTTGTATGTCCTGTTTGAAGAGGTGTCTATTTAGGTCGTCTGCCCATTTTTTAATTGGGTTCTTTGTCTTCCTTCTGTTGAGTTGTATGAGCACTCTACATATTTTGGAAATTCACTTCTTTTCTGATGCTTCATTGGTGATTATGGTCTTCCATAGAGTGGGATCCCTTTCCATTTTGATGGTTGTTTCTTTTGCTGTGAAGAAGCTTTTAAGTTTGTTTTTAGAGAGAGAGGGAAGAGAGATAGGAACATTGATGAGAGAGAACATTGATTGGCCGCCTCCTGCATGCCCCCCACTGGGGATCAGGCCCACACCTGGGCATGTGCCCTGACCTGGAATCAAACCAGAGACCTCCTGGTACATGGGTCAATGCCCAACCACTGAGCCACAGCGGCATGTTTATAGTAACACAATGGTAGACAACAAGTAAGATGACAATATAGAATAAAGAAGTAATGAATTTCCAAATTAATGGTAACAACTACAATTGCTCTTAAGTGCCATAAAACACACACACACCCTGGGAACTGACACGGTCTGCAAAGGGACAGATAGTACATAAGTGGGCGTTCAAGGGAGAATGTGATTTGCTAGGTGGAATGGACAAGAGTGAGATAAAGATACTTGTAGCAGAAATTCCAACTTGAACCAGTTTAGATGGACAGTAGTCCCTGTCAGTTGTCTTTCTACTTTTGTTGCTGTTGTTGTTGTTCCTTAAAAACAGAGTTTCGGTTTTATTTGGGGAAGCATTGTGACCAGGACAAATACCATCATCTCCAAACTTCCTTGTAGCCACCAGAGGCCAGTGAGATATACATGGAAATCTGTGGAAGGTGTCTCTTGCAGAAGAAAAAGCACTTTCGTCTTTCTGTTTTCTTTGATACCTTGACTGTTTGTGAGGCCAGGAAGTACAGCAGCGTGGAAGGATGGGCCATGCACGCCTCACCCTGCACGACTGCACCGCAAGGCCCACCTGACAGCGACAGCTTCCTGACTTCGTGTTAATTGAGATGAATTCATTCCTGTCTGGTTCAGTTACTGTTATTTGAGTATTCAGTTTCTTGGAATCAAATGCATTTTTAACTAATGCAGACGAAAAGGAAAATGTATTACCTCAAACAGTAGACGTCTAAAAGCAAGCAAGCTCGAGATTTGGTTAATTACGTAACTTTTACCATCAAAAGTGCGAATCTGTATGGACCCCTTCCTTCTTTATGCTCTGCCATCTTTATAACTAATTTTCTTATCAAGTCAGGTCCTCCCCATATGATCTCTTCAGTTCTGATCATCTCAACTTTGCAAATGATATCCTGAGAAAGGACACCTAGATTTTCTTTCTTTTGATTTATTTTTAAGAAAAAGAAAAACTTTTCCTAGGTGCCTTTTCTCCAGTAAGTCTCATTGTAGAATCATACCCCAAGTCTATGCCTACACTAAATAAGAAAATCAAACATCATATCACAATTGCTTTGATAATGCACGAGTCCCCTCTGGAGCTGAGGCGTGGGCTGTTTGACCCATGAAACACATACTGAGTGAAAGAAGGTGTATACCTGGAGGAAATTGCAGTTCTGTCCTGAGCAAGAAAGGGAAGGAATGACTGACAAATGGGCACCCCGCTTCTAGAGAAAACATTTTAAAAAGTGAGAAGTAGTCATAAACATAAAAACTGAAAAAGTCTGTTGTTATTCAAGAGATAATTTTTCTGAAAACTTTGGTTGGCTGACAGTTTTAAACATGAAACAGATTCCAGCCTAAAAAATACTTTGTGGTACAGGAAAGGTTACCGTATTTAAGCCTAGAGCTTTTGGAGAGTATCTTCAGACATTGTGGAAAACGAATATTTTTAGCAGGGGAAATAATGTAAGAATTTCTTAAAGATGATTGATGTGGTTTGCATTTGTAAGGTTGATAGGTTGAAGGCTACATTAAAGAAAGAGACAATTAAATCAAGGTGTTGAACCAATGCAATTGGAACAGGGGCTATGGAACTATAAGAAAGGAAATGAATTAAATAAGTATTCAAAGGGAGAATCTACAGGTATTGGTGATAGATTGGATGGGTAAATGAAGAATATAAAATCCAAGATAACTCCAAAGTTTGAATCTTTTAGAAAGAGAGAGAAGGTTCATGCCACAAGAGTAATCAATAATCTCAAAAAGAAGAACCCACTTGGAGAGGTGAATGATGAATTTGTTTTAGGCTTGTTGGTTTTGAGGTAACAACTGCATATTCCAGGTGAAATGCCCAACAAACATTTGAAAATAAACAGCTGCATTTCATCATGCTGTGGATTTGCCAGCCAGCTGCATACAAGTGTGAAGGGCAATGGCACAGGATGAGTGAAGATATACAGAGCAAAAAATTTAAGCAAATAGATACATATTTTTTAAGTCAAGAGGGACACCCTGACTATGTCTGCAAGTTAGAGGAAAGGGATTAGTAGAGAATGTGATATTGAAGAATATGGAGAATTTGTGTAACTTTGAAATAAATGAGGCTGTGGAATGCTAAAAGCAGTGTTGATAAGGAGCAGAGATTATAAACTGAGGTTAGTGCTAGAAAGGAAAAGTAACATAATTTGAGAAAAAAAGAATGAAATAGAAGAGAATTGATTCTAATTGTATGGAAATCTTTAGAGGCAAAGATGAAGGTCATGTATTGAATAAATGGGAGCTCGAGGGATAAGACTGGACATAGAGAGTGGAAAGGGATGGAGCATCATTATCGCAGAGACTGTGTGTCAGGGAGTCGGTTACACAGAAATACATAGCGGACCCTGTATGTGACATTATTCTGGAGAACCCACAATGGCAAATTCTGCATGTTTGTAGTTGTGTTAATTAAACACCTGGAGAACTGGATTTCTCACTTTTGTCCATATTGTTTGCATAATATAAACCTTTCTATACCACAGATTTGCTATAGACAAAATAAAGAAAGATATACAGAGCCCATAAAGAAAACGCATAAAAATCAATGGACAATGAATGAAAGACATGTAAATAATTAAAAATGATTTTAGTTTGGAGGATAAGATGTGATCATGCCTGAGAAGTGAAATGCTGATACTTTACAAAAATACTCTCAGAGATCCAGAAAATTTTCTATAAAAATATGAAAACTGTGTCTTCTATATATTTGGTATCCGCTTTAAGAGCAAATTTTTCTTCTGATGAAGTTTCTATATGTTAATATTAGTTTTCTGTTAAGAAAAAGTTATAAGCAAGAAACCACCCGAAGAAGAAATATTAAAAAATAACACACACTTCATCTTTCTAAAAAGAAAAAAAGTCAATGACAATCTCAGTTGATTCATACCGATTCAATCACCCAATAATTCATTCTGTCTGTATAACAGCCAGGCGTTACAGTGAATGCTCAAATATAATAACTGCTGTGAAAAAAAAGAAAAAGAAAAATGAAAGCAGATATCAGGGCGTTATGATGGCACTTTTCACAGATGACTAGTTATTATCTCAACTAGTTACATCACAACACATTCAATTATTATCTAGTCATTTCTATTGTGAATAACTTAATGAGTTATCAGTCATCACTTACTGACTAGTTCTGAAATGTTGTACGTGGGAGATTGGTATGGCATGCCGACAGGGTTTGTGACCATACAGTTCACTGTCTCTCCCAAAGGCACCTTTTCTTTAATTAATGGTTTTGCTTCTCTAATGGTCTATGCTATTCAAACACCAAGGTACACAGAGCAACTGAATAAAATATCCGAACAACTGAAGCTGTTGATTTATTCGACTGGAATTATCCATATTATCATAATGTTATGTTTGTTGTTGATGTGCAGACAGTTTTATCTATCATCTGTAAATATTATTAGTCAATCCATATAACTTCTTAATGGAAAAAAGACAATATGCCTACACTGCTTCTAGACCCTGTGATAAAAAAGTCAGTGCACAACTGATATTATAAATGGGTGCAAACGCCCTAGTTCTATAAATGTATTTGTAAAGAATTAGGATATACAGGTACAAAATAAAATGATCACTGATGGGGTGTAATATCAAGTGCAATATGGATTTTCAGAACATTCCATTAAATGTTCCGTTTCCTTAGGCCAGTACACAGCCACAACAGGAAGCTGCAACTTTGAAACACCTTCAGGAAACTGGACCACAGCCTGCAGTCTTGCTCAAGACTCTGAAGATGACTTGGACTGGGCCATTGGCAACAGAATTCCTGCTGAAGCATGGAATGCAGACTCTGATCATACACCAGGTACATATATTAGAGATACACAGGCCAAGTAACCAGCTCCTGGAATCCTGCTTTATTGATTTGAGCAAATATTGGAGTTTGTCCCTTATGTCTGTAGTGGGGGAAGGGGGTGGGAATCAATAGGGCTTATGAAAAGAGAGTTAATCCTTTCTATTTAACCCCTAAATTACTGAATACACTCAGAACTGGTATTGGGACAACAAGGATATTCATGACTCATATTTTAAGAGACTCACATATCTTATTTCCTTTGCCTTAAATGTGTCCCTTAAATCCCTAATCAGGGCAGTGACAAGTAGGGGGCAATCAGAATAATGCATGCAATAGGCAAAGGTTTACAATGAGCAATAATATGAGTTCTCGCAATGCCACAGTGGCCAACAGCTGCCCACCATTTTTATTCCAGTCCCTCTGAATTGCTGGGACGGAGGTATAAAAGGTAAGTGGTGGTTGAGGAGTGAGCATCTCCAAAGTCTCGACAGGTTTTGCATTGTGATTTGAGATTAATGAAATCTTTAATGGTTTTACAGTTACTAAAGTCAAAGTAGGCTTGTAACCTTATTTACTTTGACCCTGAAGACTTGCCTACTCAGCACTTTTCTGTTCTTAGGAATTAACTTTTCCTAGGTAAATTTTCTTAGGAATAAAAATCAACGTAAGAAATTTGTGGTGGTAAATTTTATGTATCAACGTAGAGGGTGTTATTGGATGAGGTTAACATTTATTTTTTTAATTTATCTTTATTGTTGAAAGTATTGCAGATTCCTCCTTTTCTTCCCCATTGACCCCCACCTCTCCACTCCTGCCTCCTACCTCCTTCACCACACTACTGTCTGTGTCCATTGGTTATGCGTGTATGCATAAAAGTTCCTTGGTTTATCTCTTCTCATCTCCCTCCCCCTTCCTTCAGGTTCCTCAGTCTGTTCCTGCTTCCATGTCTCTGGATCCTTTTTTGTTTTAATTCTCACCCAAGAATCTGTTTTTATTGATTTTTAAAGAGAAAGGAAGGGAAAGAGAGAGAAACATCCATCAGTTGCCTTCAGTACACACCTTGACCAAGAATTGAACCCACAACCTAGGTATGTGCTTTAACCAGAAATTGAACCTGCAAACTTTTGGTGTATGAGATGACACTCCAACCAACTGAGCCACCTGGCCAAGGCAACATTTATTATTATTATTATTCAATATTATTTCTTATTAGTTTCAGGTGTACGACATAGTGGTTAGACAATCATATATTCTACAAAGTGTTCCCCTTGATATTTCCAGCACCCAGTTGGCACCATACATAATCATTACAAAATTATCGACTATATTTTCTATGCTGTACTTTATATCCCTATGATTATTGTGTAACTACTAATCTATATTTCTCAATCCCTTCACCTTTTTCACCCAGTCTCCGAACTCTCCTTTCATCTGGCAAACATCATCTGTTCTTTGTATCTATGATTCTGTTTCTGTTTTGTTTGTTTATTTATATTGTTCTTTAGATTCCACATATAAGTGGGATCATATGGTATTTGTTTTCCTCTCACTGACTTATTTTACTTAGCATAATACCCTCTAGGTCCATTTATGCTGTTGCAAATGGTAAGATTTTGTTCTGTCTTATGGTCAAGTAATATTCCATTGTATATATGTACCACAGCTATTTTATTCACTCATCTATTGATGGCACTTAGGTTGCTTTCATAGCTTGGCTATTGTAAATAACAATGCATAGGGGTTTATATATTTTTTAGAAATAGTGTTTTGGTTTCTTTTGATACATACTAAAAAGTAGAATTGCTGGGTGATAAAGCAGTTCCAGTTTTAATTTTTTTGAGGACCCTCCATACTGTTTTCCATAGTGGCAGCACCAACATACATTTCCCCCAATAGTGCATGAGGGTTCTCTTTTCTTCACATCCTCACCATCGCTTGTTTGTTGATTTGTTGATGGTAGCCATTCTGACAGGTGTGAAGTGATATCTTATTTTGATTTTAATTTGCATTTCTCTGATGATTAGTGATGTTGAGCATTTTTTCATATTGACCATCTGTATGTCATGAGGTTAACGTTTTAATCAATAAACTTCAAGCAGATTGCCCTTTATAATGTGGGTGGGCCTCCACCAATCAACTGAAGGCCTAAATGGAACAAAACATGTGGCTGCCCAAGCAAAAGGCAGTTTCCCCAAAAGATTGCCTTTGAACTTTATCTGCATCATTGGCTCTCCTGGGTGTCCAACCTGTGGGCCCATACTGTACAGTTAGGACTTGCCAGCATCCATAATCATATGAGACAATCTTTTGTAATAAATATATTTCTATACATTCTATTAGTTCTGCTTTTCTAGAGAAACCTAACAAATAAAATATAACTCAAAAGGATGGAAGCATAAGCACAATGAAAAATAACAACATTATATGGAATTAAAATAACTTTACATAGGAAAAATATATAAAGTTGGCCTAGCCATTTTATAACTAGTAAGAAGAGAACAATAGTTTTTATTTTTATATTTCAGGAAGATTGAAAATAATGTGCTGTTCAGTTACAACATGTGTGCTCATTCTTATTTTAAAGTTGTACCTAATTCATGTTCAAATTGAATATTGGGATTTCTTTTGACCTGTGAAGTTGTATTTTCTCTTCCTTTTACCAAGTGTTTTCTTTTTCTTATAAAAGAATGAAGTTAGTATACCCCAGGTTATATGTTAAAAGAACAGAAAGTACAATCAAGATGCTGATGTCAGCAATTAGGATGATTTAATATACAACAAAGTTTAATTCCATGAAAAAAAAAATGCATTATTTAATAAGGTGCTGGTATATTTGGTTATTTACCTGGAAAGAAATAAAATTAAACCCATTTTTTATGTATGTTTCATATACAGAAATATAGTCCAGATTGATTAAAGACTTAAATGTAACAAATAAAAGCAATACAATTCTTGCAAGAAAACAGAGGTTAAACAATACGCAACTTAGAGGCAGGATCTAACTCCCAAAAGTTTAGAAGCTACAAAAGAAAAGCTGTACTTATTTTATTATGTGAAGTAACTGTGGTCTAAAAATCACATAAACAAAATCAATAGGCACATAATAGATTAGAAATGTTCTCCTTACTGATTACAATTAAGATTATACGTATACATATACACATATGTATATATAACTTTTACAAACTTATTAGAAATGACAATTTTAGCAACCAGAAATGATTTTGCAGAAGCATTCAAAGATGATCAGATTCATATAATCTACAAGTATATTAAATGATGCTCAAGTTCACAAGTCATCAGAAATATGCAAATTAAATAGTAAAGAAATGGGAAAAGATTTTAAAATGCCACCTATAGGTGACTGGGAGAAGGAGTAGGGGGAGCAGAAAAAACATGCACCATCACGGTTACAGGGAATTTTCCATTTGGAAAGCATTCTGGCCATATAGAAATAAAAAGACCAATACAGAAGCACATGTGTATAGGGATATTTACTTCAACATTATTTGTAGTTGAATAAAATGGGAAATAAAATGAATGTCCATTATTCATACAATCATTTATTACTTCCTTTTTTGCTTTATTGGTTTACTGAATGCCAAACACTGTTATAGATCCTGGGACTACATTAGTGAATAAAACAGATAAAAATTGGTGCTGAAGTGGAGTTCACATTCTACAAGGAGAAACAAGATAATGAGCAAACATAATAAGTAAATAGATTATACGGACTGTTAGAAGTTGAAGAGAAAGAAATAATGGAGTAAGAAGGACTGGGAAGGCCAGAGGATGGGTGTGTGCATTGCAGTTGGTGGGGAAGGGGGTTGAGGTAAGGAGGGATGGCAGTTTAAATAGGTTGATTAAAGTAGGCTGCATTGAGAAAATGCCATTTGAAAAAAGACTTGAAAGAGGTGAGGAAGTGAGCCATGTGGATAAAAAAAAGAAGTAGAAGCTATGAATAAAAATCAAGTGGAAATAAAGAATGATATAGCTGATATAAATAATACTTTAGAAGGCCCTGGCCAGTTTGGTTCAGCAGCTAGAGCTTCGGTCCATGGATCAGAGAGTCCTGGGTTCGGTTCCGCTAAGAGCACGTACCTCGGTTGCAGTTTGTCCCTGGCCCCGGTTGCGGTCGTATGGGTGGCAACCATTCGATGTGTGTCTCTCACATCGATGTTTCTCTCTCTCACTTCCTCCTTCTCTCCCTCCTACTCTATCTAAAGATAAATGCAAGAAGAAAAAAAAAGTGTCCTCAGGTGAGGCTAAAAAAAATAATAATACCTGACCTTGGAAGGACTCAATAGTAGATTAGAAGAAGCTGAAGACTGAATCAGTGAGTTAGAAGACAAGGTAGAAAAAAAAATAACACCCAAATAGAGCAGCAAATGGAAAAAAAAAATTAAAAAACAGGAGGCAAGTTTAAGGGAGCTTTGAGACAACACAAACATGACAACATTCATACCATAAGGGTACCATAAGGAGAAGAAGTAGAAAAAGAAATAGAGAATATATTTGAAAAAATAATGACAGAAAACTTTCCTAATCTGGTGAAGGAAAAACTCACACAAGTCCAGATAGTCCCAAGCAAGATGAACTCAATAAGACCCACAGCTAGACACATCATAACCGAAATGGCAAACATTAAAAACCAATAAAGAATCTTTTTATTTTATTTTATTTTTTTAATCCTCACCCAAGGACATTTTTGCATTCATCTTCAGATAGAGCAGGAGGAAGAGAGGGAGGAAGAGAGAGAGAGAAACATCAATATGAGAGGGACACACTGAGTGGCCGCCAACCACATGACCCCAACCAGGGCCAGGGACAAACTGCAGCCAAAATATGTGCCCTTAGCAGGAACCGAACCCAGGACTCTCTGGTCCATGGGCTGATGCTCTAACTGCTAAGCCAAACTGTCCAGGGCACCAATTAAAAAATCTTAAAATCAGCAAAAGAGAGACAGAATGTTACCTACAAGGGAGCTCCCATTAGACAATCAGCTGATT